GGTAATTGTGACTTTTTACAGTATCTCACAATTCTGAGTTTATATCTCACAACTGAGAAAAGTAGAACTGCGAGATATAAACAAGCCAGACTTGTGAGATGTAAACTCACAATTATGACATGATAACTTGCAGTTGCAAGATAAAATTCTGGGAAAGAAGTCAGAATTGTGAGGTTAACTCAGAATAAAGAGAAAAAATGAGAATTGCAAGATTTTAACTCTGAATTCAGAGAAAACAGTCAGAATTGCGAGATGTTAACTCAGAATTCTGAGAGAAAAAAAGTCAGAATCGTGAGATGTTAGCTCAGAATTCTAAGAAAAAAAATAGTGAGAATTGCAAGATGTTAACTCAGAATTCCAAGAAAAAAGTCCAAATCGCAAGATGTTAAGTCAAAATTGTGAGATGTTAGCTCAGAATTCTTAGAATAAAAGTCAGAATCGCAAGATGCTAACTCAGAATTCTGAGAAAAAAGACAGAATCGCAAGATATTATCTCTGAATTCCAAGAAAAAAGTCAGAATTCAGATGTTATTTCAGAATTCTGAGAAAAAAAGTCAAAATTGTGAGATGTTAACTCAGAATTCTGAAAAAAAGCACCAGAATTGCAGTGTTAACTCAGTATTAAGGGGAAAAAAACAGAATTGCGAAGAAAAACATCCGAATTGCAAGATGTTAACTCAGAATTACGTCAAAAAAAGTCACCTTTTTTATATTTCTATTCCATGCGACAATAAGCTTCCATATAGGAAGAGATGTACTCATGAAAAAAATGCACCTGCGCTGTCCAACCTCGACAGTAAATTTTCATTTGGATTAAAAGTATTGGCATGCTAGACGGTTTGACGGGGTCAAAGCTTTAAACACGGCATTATGGGATAGATTTTTTTTGTTTTTGATGGAGAGAGGGGGGCGTATTCCACTGCGTTAAAAGCTTAATGGCACTCCCCAGACAAGCCTCAAACAAGGGTAATGTAGACAGAATTAAATGACTGTCTAATTAATTAGAAGAGCGGAGGCTGGTAAGAAACAGCAGTGGCTTCTCATTAGACCGAGTTTGCAAGTCTCTGGAGAGTGCTGGTTTGGAATATTATCCGGTGCGAGCGGCATTTCCCAGCAGGCTCTGGTTGCTGACACATGAACGCACTCAACCGCCCATTGTTAGCGTGGTTGCTGTTTCCACATTGTGTTCCCTCAAAAAAACACAAGAGGAGAGGATCACCGAATAATTAAACACACCCACTTTGAAGTCTGTTTTCTCGCCTCGGGATGTAATTCTTTTTCAGGATTTGTTGTTGTTGTCGCTCTGACCCAGAACTTAATGGACGCGGCGCACGCCTGTTAAAGCGTGTAACACCTACAGTGTGAGCATCAAACAGCAACTCAGCAAATATCTTGTATATCTCGCCTTCCCTCTGTATCTGGGATAATCTCTTATCTGATAACAAGGTCTAGTCAAACTGTGAATCATTTGGACTAGAGCTTTCCAACCAAGTCTGATTAATTTGATTCATTCAAGCTGTTATTTGATTCTTTTGGTGAATCAGTTGCTAATATAAGCAGATGTAATTCAACTTCTGTAAATTCTCCCACAACGCAGCCTACATAGTCAGTCCTTCGTATCATTCACTCTCACTCACTCATTGCTTTATTCCTGTCAGTCATGTCACAGTGTCAGTTGTGTACTGCAGCACTGCACTTGTTACATATTAGAGCAGAGTTTATATGTGTGCTTCTGTCTCTCTCTCTGCTCTTCCTCTTGCATGTCTGTGTCTTTGAAGTCTAGTGTCTGCTTTAATGAGTGTGTACTTCAGACTTGTTCAGCCCAAACAGCACTAGGTCTGCTGTCCTGAGGCCACTCCACTCTCTCTTTCACCATCCCTCCTTTATTTTCCTTTCCTTTCCTTTCCTTTACTTATCTTTTCTTTCCTTTCCTTTCCTTTCCTTTCCTTTCCTTTCCTTTCCTTTTTTCTCTTTATTTTTTGGCCAATTCTTGTTTTTCTGTTATTATTCTCTCATTCCTTTCTTCCTTCTACCTTTCTTTTTCCTTCCCTTACTTGTTCTTTCTTTCTATTATCTTTTTTCCTTACTTAAGATGCTCATTTCACTATTCCTTCCTTCCTTCCTTCCTTTCTTTCTTTCTTTTTCTTTCTTGCTTCCTTTTTTTTTAAATTACGCCTATATGCTTCCTTCCTTGTTTCTTTCTTTTATTCTTCCCTTCTTCCTTCTGTCCTTCCTTCCCTTTTTCCTTCTTTGCTTCCATTTACTTTGTTTTCCTTCCTTTTTTATTAATTTTCTTTGTATTTCTTTCTTTTATTTTTTCCTTTGTTCCTTCCTTGTTTCTTTCTTTCTTTTACTTTCATCTTTCTTTCTTTCTTTATTTCTTTCTTTCCTTCCTTCCATCCTTGATTTGTTTCGTTTTCTTTCTTGCTTGCTTTTTTTGTTTAGGCCTACATATCCTTCCTTTCTTGTTTTTTTTTTCTTTTATTCTAACCTTCTTTTCTTTTTTCCTTCTTTCCTTCCTTCCTTCGATCATTCCTTCCTTATGTCTTTCTTTCTTTCTTTATTTATTTATTTATTTCACTTCTGTCTTTCCTTCCTTGTTTGTTTCTTCTGTCCTTCCTTTCTCCCTGTTTCTTTCTTTCTTTCTTTCTTTTCCTTCCTTCCTTCCTTCATTACTTTTCTCCTTATTTCTCACTTTTATTTCTTCCTTCCTTCCTTCCTGCATTACTATTCTCTTTATTTTTGACTTTTATTCCTTCCTTCCCTGTACTTGTGTTTCTTTTTCTTTTTTCATTTACTTATATCTTCCCTTTCTTGTTTCTTTCTTTTATTCTTTTCTTCCTTCCTTCTATCCTTCCTTTCATTTCCTTCCTTCCTCTCGCTGTCAGTCACTCTCTCTCTCTCTCTCTCTCTCTCTCTCACTCAATTGAGCTCCAAGCTCGTTCACCCCCGGCAGCTTGTCTTCTGTCTCCTGGGAGGTGATACTTGGTTTTGATGTATAAATCATCCTCGACTGTTCAGTCTTTAATTAATGACCCCCATCTGTCCTTGCTGGGTGAGTTTGAATTTTAAAATGCTGACACATCAAACAAGCGCCTCTGCGACTGCCTGACGCAACAAGCCCCCCGAGTAAAGCAAGCTATCAGCGCACAGAGAATAGGCAGTCTGACATAGACACCCTCAATAGCTCCGAGGTGCTTCCAGCCCATTTACCCGGCAGAGCAACAGAGATAAAGCACGAGAGAGGCTGAAAACCAGTCGCCGGACAGAGCAGGGGCAATAATACTTCCGTTCATCAGCAGGCCAGACCAGTAAGGCTCTGTGTGTATGTGTGTGTGTTCATAGGCTTTTCAAGTGAGCCCTGCCAGAGTTTCTGAAGCGGTTATGGAGGCATCAAAGACAAGCGCTGCGGTGAGTCACTGGCTGCCTTTTACAATCTATGTACTGGATGTGTGCAAGACAGCGTTTCAGGCCATAGACGGGGCGTGCGGGACGTGCAGGTGGACAGGGTCAGGCTGTATCACATATGCATGAATAGCCAACAACACAAAACGAGAACATAAAGGCTCTGTTCTCGCTTTTGTATGCCGATGTTGTTGTTCCCATCGTTCCTGCTTTTCAGTCCACTCTGGCTTCTTTTTAGTTTCCTCTCATGTCATTAAAATCAGCTGTTCATCTCAGCGCCGTGTTCGTGTCTTTCTCTCCTTTCTCCCGCTGTGCGGGTCATCACATCGTACAGCTGCTCATGTAGCATGGTGGGGTGGCTCTCTTTGAGTTGTCGCTGCGATTTCCCTCTTTATCTTTCCAACTTGTTTTGTAGTGAAGCATGTGCTACTCTTTTAACTAATTGCACAGTTCTCCGCCTCTCACCATTGTGATTCAACACCAATGAAATTCAACACCCTCATAAATCCTTTGTATGTAGTGTTAAACTCCATTACTCTACGATATGGGACAGTACCTCATCTTCCCTTTTTCATGAGCTAAACAAACACAAGCGGTCTCACAGTGACCCAAACTCACCAGTTCTGACCTCAAACCTCTTATTAAACTTTAATTGCTACAAACCTGTTTCTACAAAGTGTGCACTAGAGCTCATGAATTAGGACACCCTCCCCCCAGTGTGAAAGTCTCACAGTTTCTCGTTAGTGACGATTAGTGGTTGTGATGTGGAACTAATTTGCTGTTAGTTGCTTGTTTTGAATCTAATCCGTCTTTGTGGGATCTCTGTGGACTCTGTATCATTTATCCATGCGCACCTACACTAACATTATCATCTGCAGTGTTTTTCCTTAATTCGTGAAAAAGACAGATCAGGAGCTTTGGGGAAAAGAATCTGCTGCCCTCGAAAAACACAGTTTTAATCCCTTGAAAGCAGATGTATTATGAGATACAGTTTTCAGTTCCAAATGTAGAAGCCTGTTTTCAAGCACTGCATTTTGGAAGTGGATGTGTATTTATATTAAAGGGATAGTTCATCCCAAAATTAAATTTATGTCATTTATTCATCTTCACGTTGTTCCAAACCTGTTTGCTGTTGTTTTTAATCATTTTAATGGCGTAAAATTCATATTTTCTAATTGAGTTGTACACTACCATTCAAAGGTTTGTGGTTGGTAGGATTATACTGACCAAGGATGCATGTATTTGATCAAAATTTGATCAAAATGTGTATATATATATATATATATATATATATATATATATATATATATTATTACAATTGAAAAATTTTGTTTTCTGTTTCAGTATATTTTTAAATGTAATTGTGATGCCATTACTCCAGTCTTCAGTGTCACATGATCCTTCAGAAATCAATATGCTGATTTGGTGCCCCAAATTTTTTTTATCAATTTAATGCCTCCTTGCTGAGTAAAAGTATTATTTATTTATTTATTTTATGGTATATCTCATATCTTGATGGAATAAATTGAAAAGCTTGACAGAAAGAGTGATTCATTTGATTCTGTCTAAATGCCATGTATCTGCCATTCCAACAGCAAACCTTGGGGAATAACTTAACCAATCTGGTGAAGAGGAACAGTGAGCTGGAGAACCAGATGGCCAAACTCATCCAGATTTGTCAACAGGTGGAGGTGAGTCCAGGCAAATTTATCATTATATTCTTCATCCTTCACATCACCATCATCATCATACTCGCTCACATATTATTTTCCATAAATTAATTAGTTAGCAGTTTATTTTTAGTGACAAATGGTTTGTTGCCCTTTTGAGCTACAAATGCTTGTCAGAGGTTCAAGGCTGCTGCAGGGATGCAATTACAAAATGTGAAGAATAATGTATATATGAGATTTCTAATTTGTATATGATTGTTGCAGTTATATGGATGTATGTATGAATGTTTTATGTAATTGTGTGTCTGTTTTCCTCAAGTACCAATGAATGTTTTGTTTTAATTCACAGTCCAGTGTGTCTGTATAGGCAGCTTTTGCATGGCTTGTATTGACTTGAGTTCTGCATTGACGTTCATTTTCTGCTGAGGCTAGAAAAGCCTCCAAGAGTGTATCAATATGAATGCAGATTGGTAAATGCTTTTCTTGTGAATAAAAGAGACTAGCACTATAGATACACTCATTCAGTAAAATGCACTCATGATCAGTATAAGAGCAAGAACCTTAAATAGGCATCATAGTAGGTGTCTGAATCGGTGGGGGGGGGTTCTCCTATTTATTAATATTTCACTGTGGTTTATCATTAAATGTGACTTTTATGCAGTTGCAGGAAAAAGTATTACCTGGATTCCTGTATATATTTGATCTAAACAGAAACAGAAACAGAAACACACAATCTGCTCAAGCATGTATTATACACACAATGATAGATTTACATGAAAAGTGGGAAATGTATGTGAATCCCTGAGGTAATATCTTAGCTAAAGCTTATGTAGAATCTAATTATTGAGGCAAGATTGGAAGTGCTGATCAGGGTAAAAAAAATTGAGATTGCTATTCACTAGACGTATTGCCTGAGATGAAACATACCTTGAACAAAAGAGATGTCTGAATGCTGAAGATTAAGCATTGTTGACTTACTTAAAGCAGAAATATCTCTACACATTACTCATCAGTCCACAGTGAGAGAAAATGTAAATAAATGGAGAAAGTTCAGCAATGAATGCTCAGTGATGTCAAGAAGACTCATAGAGTGTCAGCTTAAAACTTGCAAGAATCTCTGGGATGTGCTAACATACAGTAAGTTTCAGGGTTGTTATTAAATTGCATGCCTTTTCCCTATAATTCTGTGAAAGTTTACATGGTTTGCACAATAATGACATGAAAACACATCATTTGTTATTTAAGTAAAGTGTTTTTCTATTGTTTAATTTTTTGACAAATTTTTTCAGAAATCGATGATAAATCACAGCGTTTACACACTTTTTCCCTACAAGATTAACATATAT